TCTCCTTGGACTATACCCAAAGGACTTAAAAACAGCATACTTCAGGGAAACAGCCACATCAATGTTTATAGCAGCACAATTCACAATAGCTAAACAGTGGAGCCAACTTAGATATCCTTCAGTGGATGAATGGATAAAAAAAATGTGGCATATATACACAATGAAATTTTACTCAGTATTAAAAAAGAAAAAAATCATGGCATTTGCAGGTAAATGGATGGCATTAGATAAGATAATGCTAAGTAAAGTCAGCCAATCCCCTCAAAAAACAAATACCGAATGTTTCTCTGATATAAGGAGGTTGTGTCATAGCGGGATTGAGAGGGTGGAATAGATGAATTCTAGATAGAGAAGAGGAGTGGGAGGGAAAGGGAAGGGGCAAGGGATTAGCAAGGATGGTGGAGTGTAATGGACATTATTATACAAAATACATGTATGAAGACTTGAATTGTGTGTCAAGATACTTTACACAGAGTTACAAAAATTGTGGTATATATACTTATATTTTAATAATTGTAATGCAAAAAATAGAATAGCTTTACCTTATATTAGGTATAGGTAAGTGAAAGGAGAAGAAGAGGGATGTGGGGATAAGAAAGATAGTAGAATGAAACACATTATTTCTTTATGTATGTATGTGACTGTATGACCAATGTGATTTTATAAAATGCATACTCAGAAAAATGAGAGATTATATCCCATCTATGTATGATATATATAAAAGTATATAAGTGCATTCTACTGTCATGTATAACTAATTAAAACAAATAAAATTTTTTTAAAAAAAATTATTTAGTTATTCACTTCTGTTTTCCGGCCCCTGTTCATAGCTGTGTTGTCTCATATCTCCCTCACAGAACACCTCTAAGATAAGTATTGTGCTCCTTTTATATGGAAGAAAGGGGCTAAACAATGGGGCACCCGGAGGACTTGTTCACTTTTAGCTGCATTTTTCACTGTGGCTCTGAAATCATGCAGTCCCTGAGTTCAGACAGTTACCAGGGAAGGTAGCCAGGGGAACTCAGGCTGATGGCGAGGCTCTGTGGACAGGCAGCTCTGCCATTAAAACCTTTGGGACTAAATTGACTTCATTTAGTTTCAGGATGCTTGTTCAAAATGGGGACTAAAAACAGATGAGAATTTGATAAGAAAATATTTATGAAATGTGGTGCAAAGCATGTTTATCATCTGGATAAGAATGAACTATTATATATTTCATCTTTCCAAGAATGGATTCTGTTTGTAATTGCCACAGGTATTACACTGACTTTATCTGTTCTTGTTTTTGTTTGTTTTGTTTTTATTAGTTGCATTTATAATAGTGAAAAGGACTCCAATGGGAGCCATTGGGGCATAATTCAAACTGAGAGTTGATGGGACTATCACTTAGATTGTGAAGAACCAGAGAGGAAAAAGCCTCCCAGATTGCTGGGCACAGGAAAAATATCTGAATAGAACTAAAAACCAGGGCAACTTTTAATGAGTTTTCAGTGTTCAAAACCAATAGTAGCCTAGTGAGCACAGTCAGGAGTGTACTGAGAGTACACAACCTCCCATTTCTGGTAAGTATCTGTACATCCTATTCTGGAGATAGGTCAAGAAACCCTTGACTGCAGATGAATTATTTCTATTTATTTGGCATTTCTAGAGATTAAACCCAGGGCCAGACCTAGGAAAGTACTCTAACCCTGAGTTAAAAACCCACTTTATTTTATTTTGAATATTATGACAGGATCTCATAACTTGTCCTATCTGGCCTTGAATTTGAACTTCTCGTGCCTCAGCCTCCTCAGTAGCTGAGATTACTAGCCCTCACTACCACAACAAGCTCAAATGAATCATTTCTTAATTGTTCACTATCTGCTGTATATGAACCCAGGTGTTTCTATTCTAGCATCTGGGCACTTAACCCTCACCCCTATCCAATACAGACACACTCCGTGCTATCTCTCTCTGTTTTAATCATACACCCACTTTCTGTTTACTCTATTTGTTAAAAAAAAAGAAAGAAAAAAAGAAAGAAAGAAAACAAGAGAAAAAGAAAAAAAGAGGGAGAAGAGAAAAGAAAAGAAAAAGGAAAGGTAGTGTTGTGTTAGTCACTCTTTAAATCTGGCTCTCAGGTCCCAGGATGCTTAGTGCTGCCTGGCAAGTGGCCCTGCACCTTCCTTCTTCCTCTCGTCCATCACTAGGCAATCAGGCCAGCTAGGGCGAGGCCACTCTCGCCCTAGCCCTTCAGGCAGCCCAGCCCAATCTATTCTTGCCTGGGGAAGCCGCATTCCCGCTGTGCCTCCTCAGCAGCTCCAGGCCACCTCCTTGCCACCTTCTAGCCTCTGGCAGCACTGAGCCTGGCCGCCCTGCACCTTTTCAGGAGGCCGCCCGCGGTTAGTGCCCTGCCCCAGGGTAGGGAAGAGATGGAGTCCTGGGGGTCACAGTCCCAGGAAGGACTCCTCTGCTATTGTGAGCCCTGGGTCTACACAGACAATGTCGCCAGAACACAGGAGGAAAGGGGAACACCCTCATACAAACACTGAGGGCTGGTACCTGAAATGGGAATTTCTTTTGTTGGTAAAACCGGAAGTGTTTCTAGTGATACACAGGGAAGCTATATTGGGGTAATTCTGGAGACTGAAAGGAGGCCCAGCTCTGACACTGTTAGACTGGTTGCTTGAAAATACAAAGGGACTGGTTCTTATTTCACGTGTACCTGTTGCAGGCATGGGCTGGAGTGCAGGAATTTTCATTGGTTTGGTGTACGTTTTCAAAGGATGATTGCTGTTTTTGTTTGCAAACACTTCTACCTGGAAAAATGAACTGTCGATTTTTTGGAACCTAGGAAAACGTTCACTCCTTGTATTGGTGCTGCATCTTCTATAAAATCCTAGCCCTGTGTTTAAGAGGAGTTCTGGCAGCTGTTAAGATAACACAAAGATAAGAGTGAAAGAAAGTACAAATCATGCACAATGATAGCAGGGAAGAACACCCACCATACTATTAATGGCAGACAGGCTATAAGTTAAGGTCCTGGAAGTTCCTTTTCTCTAGCTGGGGTGGAGAGCTGAGGTTGGGTCTGTCTCATTTCTCCTCTCATATTTACTACTCTCTTAATCTTAAGCGGGTGTGTTTTTCATAGGGAGTCCCTACTGTCTCAGGGACACACTGGAAGGAGGAAGCCTGGAAAAGATCCAGGAGTATTTGGGGAAGCTCTTCAGGAATTGCACAGAACAGATCCTTGACATCATTGCTGAGAGGAAGCTCCTTCTTTGGGTCTGTTTGGAAGGTCCAGCTTACTCCTTTGAAAATTTATTTAAAGACTGTTGATACTCTGTTTCTGAGCACTACCATCCTGAGACCTAAGCCGTTGGTTGCCTGAACCACTACTGAGTGAGCAAATTTGTGTGGCAGGAAAGGATGGTGGGTATTATATACCCATTTTCTTAGGAAAAACATATAGCTAGCATTAGAAGGGGGGTGTGTGTATGCTCAGCAAGACCATTGCTTGCAGGAACCTGGCTGCCATGGGTGAGACTTTCCCCAAAGCCCAGATTCAGCCCATGGCTCAGCATGTGCATGCTGGCTGGGGTCATTCTGCAGGCACCTGCCCCACCAGGGACACCCACTTCAGAGTCCCTGCCCAGCAGCTAGGCTGCCATCCAGGGAACATCCTGACAGCATAGGTCTGTGACCCAGGAAAGTGGCTGTATCCCACACCATGGGTGCCATTGGCTCTGGCAACTTCCTACGGGCAGGAGAGACTGCAGGTGATGTCACCCAGCACTACAAGTTGTATTGTGGCCATAGCACACAGACAAAGCCCACTCTGTGTCCAGGGACAAAACAGAGGATAGCCTAGCAGACTGGCTAGAAAAGTAGGGCTTAGGGTTACCAGGTGGTCACTTAGAGCAGGCGGTGGTGCCCTTGGGGAGGTTCTCTGCATAGTAACCATCCACCCTCCACTTACAGCTAGTCCACGCCATGCTATGCTTCCCTGGCCCCTTCCACCTATCCCTGAACAACTCCCCAGGACCCTGCCGGGCATGGCCCCTGCCCTTCCCACCTGCCAACCATCTGCAGCCTGAGGATGCTGACCACTCCCATCCCCAGAAGGTCCCTTCCCAGAGCCTTCCCCAGCCCTCCTGAGCCCCTGCCCAGGAGGGGCACCCAAAATGGAGAGGCAGCTCCTGGATGCCCTCTGTGGGGTCAGGGAACCCACCCTTCCCTTCCCTATCCAAGAAGTCAGTGGATACCGGGGAAGCCTCACTTTTGGAGCTCAGCATAGAGTGGTTCCCACCCCTCTGACAGATGCTAGGTTGTCCTGGGTCACCTCAGCTGGTGACAAATCGGTAAACCTCTAGATGCCAAGAACTTGGGACCACTATATCACACCCCCACACCACATCTTTCCTGACACTAGCCTCAGCTGCCAGGTAGAGAAAAGACTGCACTGCTCTTGGTGGGCCAGAGGGACAATTATGGGTAATTCTGGTCATATCATGTGTCCACAGGACCAGCCCCACAGCCCCTGCCTGGGAACAAGACAGGCCCATGTGCTACCACAGCCCGTCTGGGCACACAGGAGCCAATACAGGGCACCCATGTGGCTCCCAGCTTGACCTTGGAGTGAAGGAACAAGGGCAGTTGGTCTAGGCCCAACCATGGCTATGGGTGGAGGGGATCCAGGGGTACTGAGTATGAGAGCAAGAAAAGCAGAGAGAAGGCACAGACTGGTTTATTGCTCTATCAGCCAGAATGCAGGTGAAATTCCCAACACAGACCCTGTGTCCACCCTGCAGAGTCGCTGGTGGCCACTAGGCCCTGGGTGTGGCTTTGGGGGTCTGGGTCCCATCCCTAGCCTGGGGACAGGTAACGCTGTTCCCAGTGGGAGCAGGACACAGGCCCAAGTCCACATCTGTGTCCAGAGCCTGGAGGCTCCTGCAGGCCAGAAGGGACAACCCAGAGCTTGGTCTCTGAGCTGCCCCTGGCCAGAGCTCTCTTGAAGTGCATCCAGCATTGTAGGCACTGTGGTCCTCTTTGTTGAAGACCAAAGTCCAGTGAGGTAGGAAGGGCCCAGGACAGAGGGCATGGCAGGCTGATCCCCGAGCTCAGAAGAGCAGCGCATTGAGCACAGGCGACTGAGGTGAGCTGGGGTTCCTGAGAAGGTGCTGCTGCCCAGCAGGGTGCAGGCCCCATGCTGCAAGGATGGCACAGTAAGCATGCCCTGGCCTCCTTGTCTTGCCAGGGTATGTGGCCTCAGCCCTGGGAGGGGCCAGGGGCCTCATCTCCATCTGGGCGAATATGCAGAGTGACAGTCTCTCCCACAGTCCCCAAGCTGACCATCTGGGTGGAAACCTTCGTCTTGAAGCTGCTCTGCCTGCCGTCTGTAGAGTGCTGGACCCGGGTACAGGAGGAGGTCCAAGGAGAACTGCCCACAGGTCCAGCTCGGGCCCCTCGCACGTGGAAGGACAGGTCCTCAGAGCTGTGGACCTGGGATCCCGTCCTGAAGAAGTCAGGTGGACCACATGTCTGGGTGGGTGCCCCACGTTGAGCAGGATGGGCTGCCCCACAGTGGGCTCACTGATCTCTCTCTGGAGCATGGAGACCTCACAGGGCATATCGTTGGAGATGCTGCTTGCTGAGCTATGGCAGCAAAAGGTCTCCCCTGCCTGGGGCACGTAATCTTCCAGGTCAGCCAGGGTCAGCACACGACCATTGTGTGTGAGGATCTTGGGGTCACGGCTGCAAAGGCCATCCGTGTCCTGTGGCTCCTCCACCACGAAAGGGCTCTCCCCATCACCCTCTCCTCCTGCCCACTCCATGCTGCTGTCCCTGAGAAAAGCCCCAGTCTCCTCTGGCTCTGGGCTGACTGCTCCAGAAGCAGCCCAGTCCACACTGCCCCCAGCATCCACATGGAAGACGAGGGGTTCCCCAATGTGGACCACAGCTGGACCCTGGGCATGGGGCTCCTGATCCAGCTGCTTGTTGTTGGAGTTGTTGGCATTGGGGTCCCCACCTGGTGTCCCACTAGGCAGTGTGAATAGCAGTGCCCCCATGCATCTGGGTACCTCCCTGGTGGGAGACACAGCCCGAGGACCCGACTTTTTCACTTGGACTTCAACAGTCTCCTCAACCTCCACCCACTTGGGCTGGGGCCTTGTGCCACCTGGCATGGCTCCGGAGGGGGCCTCAGCCTCTGTCACATACAGTGTGGGCACAGTGGGCTTTTAGCCTGGCTCTGTCTCATGCCTGTGAGGTTGCCTGGACCCCAGCAGGAACAGCAGGTCAGGGGCCAACAGAACTGGCCTCTGTGGGCTGGTGGAGCGGCGGGAAGGCAAGCGGGAGGGGGACTTGCTGGGGGACCATCGTGGGCCAGAGGGACTCTTCACCGCGGTGGTGATGGTCTCCTCTCTGGTAGGGGAGAGGGCCTAAGAAGAGATGGGCAAAGAGATCTGCAGCCTAACCCAGCTCCAAGCCATCAGCACATTTCAGAGACCAAGTTAAGGAACAAACAGGTGAGAAGGGTGAGTGTGCAAACTCCTACACATGCTCTTCAGCCCCACCTGCAGAGCCCCTGGCAGGAAGCCAAGGAAACCAAGCACAGTGTTTCACATGGCTAAGCTCAAGTTCTGCTCTGCTCAAGACATGTGGAGGCACCTAGAAGGCCCATGCTACATCACCCAAGCTGAAGCCTCTGGACACCAGGACTGCACTGTCTCCCCGTCCCCCTCTTCAGCAGGCTTTCTGCTCTGTACCTCAGGCAGGGTGCCCAGCCTGCTACCAGAAAGTGCCCGCATGCAGTGAAGTCTTTGGCAGGTGACAGGCTGCTGGTCTGCAGCCTGTGCTCCTGGTCTCTGGATCTAAGGCCAGTGAGGTCCCATCAGGCCAAGGGAAAGACTGGCTGAACACTGAGCTCCACATGGCTGAGTCCCCCGCCTGGCTGGCATCTCCCAAGGTGGGAGGGGCAGAGCTCAAGGCCAACAGCTCAGGAGTGCATGCTGGGAGGACCAGCGACTCTGCAGCTTTGGCCTGTCTCAGCAAGGGCCCTCAGTGGTTCTGATCCCCTCTACAGGCATGGACAGGGGGAAAGGCTCAAAAATGCCCAGATCCAAGAGTCAGCAATGCACTTTTTAGGCCAGGTCCTCCTCTGCTGCCAGTGATCCTGGCACTAGCAGGAGCTGAGGTAAAGTGGGCCATGAGCAGGGAGCAGGCTCCAGCTGAGGGAGGCAAGTCCACAGGGCTCAGCTGAGGATCTACTTATGGTCAGGACTTGGTGCTTTGACCAAGGCACTGCCTATCTCTCTCTCTCAGCATTTATTTTTATTTCTTGCTCTAACTTCGGGGCTCCAGGAAGAGTTGCTCCCAGGGACGGGCCCAGAGACAAATGGGCACCCTCAAGGTGCACAGCAGTGATGAACCCTACATTCCCTATCCCTTGTCCAGGAGGAAGGGAATCTCCTACTCCACTGACTGGTGGGGAGGTTGAGGCTCCTGGTGGCCTATTGAGGGCCAAAGCTGAGGGGGCACAGCCTTCTCTGCAGGACAAAGGTGGGTACTTCCCAGAATGTTTCTGACCCCCAGTCCCCCTCAGGTTGCCTCTGAAGCTTCCCAAATGGGATCTGGCTCCATCTCTACAATGCTCCCCCTGTGGAGGGAAGGGGGCAATAACCTGTCTGAGGCCCTAGAACACCTGCTTGTACCCAGGATGGCACTCTACCACCCAACTGTTCCCATCTGTTGGGTGGCACAGTAGGAGAAGCCTACTTCTGGGGAGAAGGGAGGTCAGGAAAGAGCTAACCCAGAGCCTCATCAATTCTGATGACAGAATTATTCTGTAGCACAGCTACCTTCAGGCCCTTCTGGCAGCTGCTCAGCCCCTGGGGAATGGAGCTTTCTATCCTGGAGCATCCCAGCCTGTAACCTATAAAATCCTCAGCCAGTCCTGCCTACAGCTCACCACCCCTCCACCTGCATACCTCCTCTGCATGTCTCCAGGACTGTCCAGGTCATAAGCAAGCCTATGTTCTGTGAGTTCACCCAGCTCTGATCCCCCAAATCAGCTCACCAACATGCCCAGATTTTCTACAGCAAGAAGGTACTGAAGGACAAAGAGCCCACAGGCATGGCTCTGGGGAAATGGGCTCTCAGCTGACTTCTGAGAGCCACCCAAAGCCTCCTCACTTCCCTGAACCTTGGTTAGGCTTGGGTTTGGAGACTGCTAAAATTCCTTCATTTAATTTTTTTTTAGTTTTAAATGGATCTTTTTATTTTATTTATATATTTATGTGCAGTGCTGTAGATCAAACCCAGGGTCTCACACATGCCAGGCAAGTGCTCTACCACTGAGCCACAATTCTAGCCCCTAAAATTCATTTCTTAAGCTGCACTAGACACTTCAAGTACTCAACAGACACACATGGCTAGTGGCTGCCCTACTGGGCAGTGTAGAGAGAATACTCTCACCACTGCAGCAAGTTATGTTGGATGATACCGTCCCAGACCTGAGGTACAAAGGGATAAGAGTCTGTCTCTAATCTTCTGAGGGAAGTGGCTCAGTCCCAGCCCCACCCTAGTGGTGTGACTCTGGTGAGCCATTGTATTGTGTGCAGAGCAAGAGAGCCATGACGTGTGGAGGGAACTGAGGCCACAGCTGTGTGAGAAATCTGCAAGGCACTGGTGGCCAGAAGTGAGCCAGGCTGTTAGTGCAGCCACTGCAAGTGGCCAGGACACACAGCAAGGTCCAGGAAGGTTAGTGGCATGCAGGGCACTGCAGTCCGAGGACGGGTTAGGAACACGCCTGCACTTACATGATGACGGTTTTCTTGGGGACTTTAGTCGCCTGCTCAGTGACTACAAAGAAAACAGTCAGAATAGCAAGGGTTACAGAGAAGCCAGTGCCTGGGGCTGACTCCCTGATGGCACTGCAGTGCAGCCATCTGCTGGGCTTAGGAGCACTGGCCATGTGTCCCTGGGCAGCTTGTCTCAGCTAAGAGGTCCAGTTTCCTCAGCTACAGACAGATGAGAGCATCTGCCCCGAGAGGCTGGGGTGTGACAGCAGGCACCCCAAGGATAGCCCACTCTCCCTCCTGAGCGCACAGGAGCTGTGGGGAGGAGAACGAGCTGGCATCTGTTGCCTACTCAAAAGGGCCCAGGCTTTTCCTCATGCTGACATAAGACTGTGAATTCCTCAAACATGTAGCCCAACATAGCCCTGAGGCCTAGGGAAAGGAAAGAGTAGAATGTGGCCATGCAGTGGGGCACCAGCCACAATGGGGCCAGGACAGTTGATGCCTTTGACCCAAAACGAGTTCAAGTCCAAAAGGTGTCTCCAGGGGAGAGGGACACAAGAGTCCTGAATGTGGACATCTGAACCCCACGCATGTGATGAGTGTCTCCAGGGGAGGGGGCACCAGAGTGCTGCATGTGGCACATCTGAGCCCCATGCATGTGGTGGGTGCCTGAGGTCTGAGTGTGAAGGGAAGCTGTCCCAGCTGCATGGCCTTCCCTGGTTTTCCCAGCTGTTGCCCTTACCAAAGCCAGCCCATGGGGCCTATGTTTCTATCTTGCTGCTGGGGACTGGAGTTCCAGAGAGGATGAAACTCATCTGGAACCAGGCAGCACCTACTCCCAACTACCTTGAGGCCTATTCCCTTTACCTCTGGGCAGGCCTGAGCTTGACTACTGCAGGCCATCTCCAGGCTCAGCAGCCCTCTTACTGCTCAATGGGAAGGTGGAGGAGGTGTCCAGGAAAGCCAAGTGGTCTGTACTGGGACATGGTCCCACATCTCCTGGACCAGGGGACTTTCTGCTTCACTGCACTGCAACACTGAGACAGGCTTTCCCTAGGCAACTTATGGCATTTCAAGCTTGTCTCAGATGATAAGCACAAGAATTAGACACTGTCTGTGTGTGTGTGCATTGGAGGTCACACTTGCTACATTTGTGTGCCTGCACATGGATGTACCTTGCATACAAATGTGCACACAGGTGTACTTGTCTGCACACATATGCATGCTCAGACATGCTGTACACACATTCACACACACAAGTGTGTATACATGTATGTGCACATCAGCACACGTACATGTGTTTGCTCAGGCATGTGTGTTTATATGTGTACATTGCTTGCACAGGCTGTGCTCAGGCATGTGTGTGTTTATAAGTGTGCTTTGCTTTCACAGGCTGTGCTGAGGCATGTGTGCTTATATGTGTGCATTGCTTGCACAGGCTGTGCTGAGGCATGTGTGCGTTTATATGTGTGAATTGTTTGCACAGGCTTTTCTACAGGAAAGTGCCTGATGGCGGGAATAAGAATCCAGTCAGGAAGCTGTATGTATTCAGAGTAAGTTGGGCACAAAGAGGGACAACCTGTGTGCCATCTGCAGGCAAGCTCCTGTGCACAGAAAGACAGGAAAGCCCAGGGCCTCCACCTGAGTCCTCCCTGGCAGGGACCCGGCTTACTGCTCCATCTTGCTGCTCCAGGACACCTTGGGTTGCTAAGCTGGCACTTTATTCATGGTCCCCAACTGCCCCAGACCAGCTGTGGGCCCCAGTGAGTCTGCCGTTACAGGAGGGCTGCAGCCATGCAAAGCAGCATCCAGGCCTGGTGCAGACACTCAAGTCAGGCCAGTACCACCGACAGGAGACAGCCAAGGCCCCTCTGGCTGCGGAGCCACTGGTTAAGACAAAGCAGCAGGACAGGATTAGGAAGCAGGAGGCACAGGGCTCTGATTGCATGGCCTTCGAGAACCAGCACTCAGTGATGTGCCTGGCCCCAGTGGGCCCTGGAGGTCTGCTCCTCATGCTGACACTGGCCTTCTTCCAGAAAGGGACCCGTCGTGACCAACAAGAGAACAGCTGCAGAGGACACTCCTGCCCCAGTGAGAAGGGCTCGTCCCCAACCCTGAGACACACAATGCAGAGAAAGTGGACGAGCCGGTGGCGACAAAAGCGTATATGCATGGTGCTGCTGTCCCCGGTTTGTGGGACAGTACATGTCACGGGTCCCCAGGAACACAGGTCCAATATGGCAGATGAGGGTCACAAGCCCTCACATAGGGATTTGCCCTTGGAGAAAGAGTCCATGAGGGCCACGGGGGCTTCGAAGTTCCTAGGGTTGGGATCTAGGGCGTTGGCGGGCCTGGTCCTCTGAAGGTCCAGAGGGATAGAGACCCTGTGTGTTGGTCCCTGGGATGGACAGACTGCAGTGGGAACACTCTACAGGAGCCTGTGCTCAGGAATTGGATGACACATTTTCCAACCACTCTCTTGTGGAAGCTGTGGCTCTACCAACATGGGTCCAGCCTCTGCTCCATGGCTGTAGGGACACGGACTCCCCACCTGCCAAGGCAGCCCTTCCAGGGGGGCAACTCCACCTGGGAGCCAAGACATATAACAGTGGCCCTCCTCCCATCCTGGTGGCCTGGGCACTGTCCTGCCCTCTGCCCTCAGTGTATATGCCCCTTCCCCAGATGTCCTACTGTCTTGCCTCTGCCCTCAGTGTAGACACCCCTTCCCTAGAATTCCTACTGTCCTGCCTCTACCCTCAGTGGAGATGCCTTCCCCAGATGTCCAACTGTACTGCCTCTATCCAGACGCCCTTCCCCAGACATCCTACTGTCCTGTCCTCTGCCCTCAGTGTATATGTCCCTTCCCCAGACGTCCTACAGTCCTGCCCTCTGCCCTCAGTGTAGACACCCTTCCCCCAATGTCCTACTGTCCTGCTTCTGCCCTCAGGGGGAAACCCCCTTCTCTAGAAGTGCAGCCCAAGAAGTCATGAGGCCACCAAGGGGAACCCCACCAGATGGTACCATGCCCTTTGGACTTTCAATCTTAAAACAATCTCTTCACTTTATAAGTAACCCAGACTCATGTGTCTTGTTGGCACATCAGGAAATGGACCAAGACACGTCACACATTCCTGAGACAGACCATTTCGCAGCTAGAGCCCTTGATGAGTGAAGCATTCCCTAGGTCTGGGACTTATCCTCTGCCAGATATGGCTGTCAGATACCACTTTTAAAAATCAGCTCTCAGCATGCAGTGGGGCTTTGGAGGAAACCAGATGCCCAACCCAGTGAGGCCTTGTGATCTTCCACTCAGGGATAGGCCAATTGGACCCCCTGAGGAACAAGATATAAGGGCTGCCCAGCCGCATTCATCAAAAGGAAGAGAGCTTCGTGAATGAGTGGATGTCCCCCAAGGGCAGGGTGGGCTCCGCTCTCCACTCCACTCCCTGATGCAAGGCAGCTGACTCCATGAGAATCTGGATCCAAGGGTCTCCACTCATGGGCTTGGGTTTGCATGGTCTACCTAAACTGAAGCCCACTGACATGGCAGTTCGCTAGCCTCATCACCCAAGAAAGGGAAGCTGGACTCATTCATTGTTTTGGGGGCTGGCCAGAGCTCTGGGCACTCCTGGGCCCTCTCTGCCTGGCCACCCTTCCTTGCTAGCTTCCTCGGGTGCCTCCCATCTCTCTGGCTTGCTGCTTCTTCACTTATATTCCTCACCTCTCTGACTCTGTGAATCCCAGATCCCAAGCCTTGAAGCCTGCCTCATCTCTTCACGCTCATTCCACATTCAAACTGACCACAGTCTCAGTCTCTCTCTCTCTCTCTCTGGTACCAGGGATTGAACCCAAGGGCCTGAATCACATCCCCAGCCCTTTCTACATTTTATTTAGAGACAGGGTCTTACTAAGTTGCTTAGGGCCTTGCTAGGTTTCTGAGGCTGCTTTGAACTTGCATCCTCCTGTCTCAGTCTCCTGAGCTGCTGGGATTGTTTTGAGAGCTGTGCACTAGACCTGACCCATAGTTTCAGACACACTGTATGCCAAGGACCTGCCTGCCATCTCTCACCTCCAGCCAGGCATCTCTCCTAAGCTCTAGATTTATTCTCAAGCTATCCCCTCCATAACCACCTGGAGCCCAATGGGCACCTGGATTCTTCAAAACCTCACAAATCTGGGTTTCTTTCCTCCCTGCCCAGCTCAGAATGTACCAGCCTGCCTCCCTGTGGGTCTGCCCCACCTCTGTGAATAGGACCAGTGGCCTCTGCTGTCCACAACCCCTGTGCTTCTCCCTGGATGCCATCTCTCTTCCACACACCCCATGCAACCCATCAGCAAATCTGGCTGGCTCTGCCTTCAAAATGCATCCAGGATGCAACCATGGCCACCACCAACATGATGCCATGTCCCTAAGCAGGCCTTTGGCACTACAGCCAAGGTGACAGATGACAGATCTTAACCATGTCCCGTGCTGCTCACAAGACCATAAGATTTCTATGTAGTTAATGCTCCATGCTGCCCAAAGGAATCATGTTGATCCCTGGCACCAGCAAGGTGCCTCGTGACCCGAGAACAGTCTGCCAGGGAAGAGCCTCAGATTGTCTGGAACCTTGGGCCACAACAGATGGGCTAGCCTAGGGGTTTGTGGCTCAGGGCCAGACTGGACACTTTATTTTACAATGGCATTCATGGAGGAGGCTCTGGCCCATTCTAGCCTCTATACCAACTAGGAGATTTCTGGTGGGTGACCTGGGACACACTGGCATCTATGCCAATGAGGAGACTCTTAGTAGGTGACCTGGGCAACACCAGCATCTATGCCAACAATGAGATTCCTGGGAGGATTCTCAGGCCATTCTGTCATTGAGGAGATTTTTAGTAGGTGCCCCAGGCCATGCCAGTGTCTATGCCATTGAGGAGATTTTTAGTAGGTGACCTAGGCCATGCTGTGTCTACACCAATGAACAGATTCCTGGAGGATGCTCCAGGCCACGAAGGCTTCTATGCCAATGATGAGATTCCTGGAGGGTGACCTGGGCCATGCTGCTGTCTACACCAATGACGAGATTCCTGGTGGGTTACCAGGGCAATGCTGGCATCTCTACTAATAATGAGATTCCTGATGGATGCTCTAGGCCAAGCCAGCATCTACGCCAACAAGATTCCTAGTAGGTGACCCAGGCCATGTTGGCATCTACACCAATGACAAAATTCCTGTGGGTGACCTGGGCCATGCTGGTGTCTACACCTTTGATGAGATTCCCAGTGGATGACTAGGCCATGCTGGTATCTATGGCAATAACAAGATTACTGGGCCACACTGGCATCTACACCAATGAGGAGATTCCTGATGGATGACCCAGGCCACACTGGCGTCTACACTAACAATGAACTTCCTAGTGGAGCTCCATGCTGTCTTCTATGCTAACGTGAGATTCATAGTGGGCTTCAGGCCATTAATCTTGACCTCAGGAGGACTAGAGCCTGAGGTCAGCCACATGAGTGGTCAGCCATGCAGGTCTGACAGAGTCCCAGTGACAAATGCTGACGTCAAGTCTCATTAAGCCTCCTGGTTGGCATAAGTATGTTTGTGTTCTCAGGTGTCACTGGGAGGAGAAGGTGCTCTTCCTCACTGCACTGGGAGCGGGAGGCTGGCAGCTCATAAGTGGTGACACTGGACCCTCCCAAAGTGCTCTTCTTTTTTCTCAGGGGCTGCAGTCTTTTCTTTATGCTGAAGTAAACCCTAACCCTGAGCATAATAGCTCTGAACTCCAAGACCTTCTGGTGAATCACTGAACCTGAAGGCAACCTTGGGGACCAGTGAACTGGACGTCAGAAGTGAGATTGGTCTTGGGACCCCAAGCCCATGGTGGTATAGTAAGTGAGGATGGTCTCGGGACCCC